TCGAACCCGCGACCCTCAGATTGTGAGTCGAGCGCCTTATCCACCTGGCCATGCCAGGCACTAAAATGAACGACATGTCCATGCCCGATTTAACTGTTTATAAACTTTCTTTAACTTCACAAAAGTAGAAAAACATCCAAAAGCATGAAAGAATCACAAGTATCTTTATTTTATTGTAATAATGTTAATAGTTTATTGTATTTCCATCTGTTTAATAAGTTTTTATTAAGTAGTTAAGTGAATTTTTTATTACTGCACTTTTGTTCACGCTTCGAATAATTTTTACATGTTTTTCGTCTACATTTCAAGACAACTTTTAAGGCCCATACAAAAGCAACGACAGGAATTCTTCGGGCAGAAAACCTTAGAGATGTTCTTTTTGATATTGGTAGGTTCCAATGTTCAGATAAACTAATCATTAAATTTAATATTTCAGATATAGAAGCAATGGCTACTTCTTATTTCTAATTTGTAAATAATTTGTACAAGTTCATTGCCAACTACCCCTAGAAACTTATTGTAGGTGTGTTTTGTACTAGTATAAAATTTCCAAACTGTTAAAGAAAAGAACTGGCAAACGTCCGCGATTTAAAAGTTCTGTATCATGTGTTATCTCAAACATTCTGGGGTAAATTTGATGATTAATAGCTTGAGGGGAAATGTTCATACGAATGTTCTGATTCGTTCCTCAGAATCTCTGTTCCTCGTTTTTAATTGTTTCTCAGAAATTCATGTTGATGGTTTCTGATTCGTTGCCCAGAATGTCGCGTTTTTCGTTTCTGAATCTATTTTTCAGAAGGTCATGTTGATAATTTATGTCTTATGCATCAGAATCTAATGTTATTCACTCCTGAATTGTTCTCCAGAGAGTAATCATTCATAACTTTTGATCAAAAGTACGTAAACTTATTATATCAGAATAACATAAATAAAGGAAACCATTTTTATATAACAAACTGGCTAGAAGTATATTATATCATAAAAGAATAACTAGGAAAACTAATATGTATAATGAAACCTACAACGAATACAATGCACTGAATCATTAGCTGGATACCCTTGTTGTTAAAAATGTTTTTGACCTTAATCTCACGTAATTCAGCCTAATTAGGAGACTTATTTTATCCTAATTTTATCCTCCCCACACCCACTGGTAGCTCAATGGTAAGCGAAAATTTGAAGGTTCAATCCCTATGGCTGGCTTTATGCTTAAAAACAAAGAAACCTAAATCCACATATTAAGCTAATCAATCTAAGATAATATTCAGAAGTGTAAAAATTAATAAAATAATACAAAAATTGAAGACACTTGAAAATAATTTATATATATTAGACTGTTAAACCTTTCAAAATGAATATCAAAGTCTAATAAAACCAATGCTTGCCCAATTCATTACTTGATGTTTAGTAAATTGTGCTACAGAATCCAATGTTTTTTGTTCTTGGATTGTTCGTCAGAAATTCATAACATGGTTTCTATCTTGTTCTTTAAGATCCTATGTTATCCATTTTTGAATTGCTCCTCAGACATTCGTCTTGGTGGTTTCTAGCTTGTGCTTCAGAATCCCATGTTATTTGTTCTTGAATTGCTCCTCAGAAATTCATGTTGATATTTCTAGCTTGTGCTTTAGGATCCTATGCTATCCATTTTTGAACTGCTTCTCAGAAATTCATATCGACGGATTCCAACTTGTACTTTAGGATCATATGTTATTCGTTTCTGATTTGCTGCTTAGAAATTCATGTTAATGATATCTAGTCTGTGCTTTAGAATTCCTTGTTGTTCGTTTTTGTATTGTTCCTCAAAAAATTAACGTCGATGGTTTCTAACTTGTGCTTGAAAGTCTCCTGTAATTTTTCTTCAATTATTTCTCAGTATGACAGTTTTTTCAATCTGTAATTTATTGATTTTTATCTAGGGTTTCAACTCAACACGGAAATATTGTGTCTCCTGGTCATTCGTTACATGAGAAAAGATGGGACCCTTCGATTCGGAGATTTTGTTTCCTGTATTTTGCACCTTTCAATAGCTTTTGGTAAGAGAAAACATAAAACAGACTACTCCGTTTTTCCAATTCCAAATAGCCGAATCCTATGTAGAATTTGTGTAAATAAGTTAATGTCCAGCAATGAGAAAACTTTTTATATTTTGAAAACGAAAGCTTTATTGAAACATTTTAAAATGTTCATAACCACAAGAATTTGTTCACACACGCCCAAATATGCGTGCGCATGTGGGTGTATATACATGCAACATACATATAAATGTTATTCAACGGTACTTTGTGTAAATATAGTAAGATATATTTGCTAGGTGTTTACATTTTGAATGCATAAAACATCTATATATATATATATATAGAGAGAGAGAGAGAGAGAGCTATTCTCATGCATGTAACCTTAATGTTTTGTATAATTCAATATGTCAACACAACAATTAGTGTGGCCAAAAATCATAAACTAAACCCTTATTATATATAATTGAACAATTATTGGCTGAGATTCGATGACAAAACCTTTTCTTTGATGACTTGAGAACAGCAGTTTTCAGTAATTAACAATTTTCATTAGATTGGCTAGGTTAGGAATCGATATGTTACTTTTCAGAGTTGTTTGTTTCAGAAATTTCGCACAAAGTTGCACAAAGGGCTATTTGCGCATAGCCATCCTTTAATTCTGACTTGATAAACTATAGGGATGATAACTAATTAACAGCACCCACTGCTAAGTGTTAGAATGTTTTTTGTTTTGTTTTTTCTGGTCTAGTTGTGGGATTTGATTATCACTCTTATAGCGCACCCACGGCTTCAAAATGTGGAGGACATTATTGCGGAAACGAGGGCGAACCATGAATCGTCGGGTATGCTAACTTCTGAATAACATCAGAAATAGTTTGTTACTCCAGGAGTGAAAATTCTGGGTGTTTACGTTGTGGGTACACAAAAGATCTTTTGCAATGAAAACTGGACAAACACTTACATATTTTTAAATCTAAAGATTATTATATAATACTAATAAACAATTTGTTGTTAAAATAAATAAATATTCTTACCCACGCTTTGGTATAGAATAACATAAATAAAATAGACAAAAAATAATTTTATTCCAGTTCACACTGAAACGGTTCTTCATCAAGCAATTTACTAGTATATATGGCGTCTCAACCACAACAATACTTGCCGTATTCCGTTCGCTTTGAATATTCACGGTATTGGCGAAAAGCCTCGTCGGCATTAGATATAGCAGACATGATATTGTTGATATTGTTTTTATACACTCTTTTCTATTTTCACTTAGATGTTTTTATAACTACATACCTTGGACTGTTTTTAACATTTCGGGGAAGTAGGTAACTTTCTTATGCTAACATAACTTTTTAAAAGCTTGTGTTCCAACTTTTTGGTCGAGCAGCAGATTTTTTCTTTTTTAATTCCAACATCTGGCTTTCACGTGTTTATTCTTTCTCTTATAAATTTTACTACCTCGTGTACTAATAAATATTTCTTATTTTGTCTTCAATTTATAGACTAAAATTAAATAATTAAGTTATTTCTTTTTGCCTTAACGCTTGAATTTAATAGAAAAAAGAAACGATAAAATAAACATTTTTCACATTTAACCAAATTTGATTTTATTATATACACCACACTAAATTTGTTTTTCAGCCACATTTGAAAAGAAGGACCCTCTTCAAAATGGCTACGTAAAATTTTCGCTATCAGAGGTAAGATGCCCAGGATTTTTCGTAATTTCAATGTTTAGTAATTTTACTTTGTACTGTAAAATTTTACTATGTATTATGCATAGAGTTAAAAAAATCATTTTAATTTAGACAATCTCAATATTAGTTTATAATATTTTTAATCGAGTTCGATTAACTTCAAAATTTGTCTTGAAATGGTCATTAATAATTTTGAATTATTTTTTCTGTAATTTTTTATTGTAGTCATTGAAGGTGAGCTTCGATTAAGGTTCTAAATATTTTAATTTAGGGTCAACGGTTAGAAATTACGGTACAAACAATAATTGTAAAAAAATATTTGCAAAAAGTACGAAATGTATCTTTTTTGTGCAACTATGCAAAAAAAAAGGCACATTGTAAAATTTGGCTTAGAAACTAATTTTCAAGATTATTATAGGTATAATAAAAGTGAACAAAACTATTTTGGATGGATTGTCAGTTGATATCCCAAGCTAATTTTCTAATATTGAAATCTAAGCTGTACAAATGAAGAAGTGTTTGGTGTTATGGCAGATAAAATAAATATAACCAAACTATGACATTCATAATTCAAAAAGTATGTAAATATTATATCACTAATCTCAGTTTTTTTATAATTTAAAATTCTAAGGGTTATGTAAAGTATAATTAACTGTTTACAGAATAATGTTCAGTTCTTTGGGGGTGTCTTTCTGTTGACTTGAAGTTCATGCATAATTTTTTATTTACTGTCATATTTAGTGGTTGAAGGCGTCTCTTCAGTGCTGATGCTAAAAAGAGATAATCTGGTGATTTGTCTATAAGGTGCTATGAAGTTCTACCTCAGCAGCTACTGAACGATGAAGGTTCATCAGTAAATATATATATATTATAGAAAACCAAAAGACGATTATTAGAAAGGACTGATACTTGTAAACTAATATAATTTTGAAAATGAACCAAGAAACAAAAATCATGGTCAATTCTAAAAAGAAATTAAAACTGAAACAAAAAAATTTAATAACAGCTCCGTTTTAAACATATACTCAAAATATACCACTGAATAACAACTATCTACTCGAAACAACCCGGCCTACTGTACTCGATAAATCTTTCTGTTGTTAGTGGTTCAAAGCAAGACGTGCTGACGATATTTATGGTCACTTCTTGTTGGAATTATTTTACCGATATTTGTATTTTCTTTTTAACGTTTTTATTTTTTCTAAACGTCAGACGTAGCATGTTTCATGACCTCGATTGTTTATTCCAGTTCTTGGAATGACTTTGTGTTTTCACGAATGAATGATATAATGTTTCAGTGAAAAGTCTATGTCATGTTAATATACTGGTTTTATTATGGGAAGGAGTTTCAAGTTACTTAATTGTTACATCTTGGCCAAGTGTACTTTGGTCTTCTGTTGCTTCCTTTCTTGTTTTTCTAATCTAACAATGCTTTGAACTTCATCCTACCAGAAAAATTAAAAAACCTGAAATATCACCAGTTAAAAAAAAAAAGATCGTCCAAAATTCAGGATGAAACTAAACAATCAGAATGCCCTTGAAATATTAAATGTCAATATGAGTAATTATAAACTGCCTGTGGTCACTTTGAGAGATGGCGGTTTTCTTTTCTTTGTTTGTAGTAGTAGCTTGAATGATTGTACAAAATAGAAAGGGTACAATAACCATTACAGTAACAAATATGACTTTTGCTTTCAAAAATCAATAAGTTAGTTGACAAACCTATGAAATGATATTTAGTTAAAAATTGAAACAAAAAATTAATATGAAATACAGCAAGCCTAAAACAGCTTATTACTACGTTACATGTTTCGTTAACTGCAACTTTATTAACGCTCAGGGGATTGGAATAACAAGAAGGAATTCAGTGTTATATAATTCGGTATCGCTAGTGGCACCAAAACAAAACATTCCAGTGCAATTTCATGAAGTGAGTCGATAAAAACGTTGACATTTTTTTTTCTTTAGTATTCTAACTAAAGATTTCGTCTTTATAAATATTAGCTCTTAAAATAAACGTTCAGTTTTATTCTAATAATTTTAAATCTGTGAATAATTGTGTATCAGTGTTATAGTTAGTTACTGTATTGTTGTTTTTTAACATGTGGCTCAAAACATACTGTATTGTCCTTAATTAACCGCACCCCCCGGTATTTTTACAAAGCTTACTTTGTGTGACAGCAATAGTAATCCAACATATAATCCACTTTTATTTCCGTAATTTAGATTTGAAAAAAAAAAAGAAAAACAAACTTATTAGCGTTGAAATCAACAAATCACACGAGAAAAATAGAATCTGGAACTACTAAAATACGTTAATTAGCGGCAATACGGTACATATGTTTATTATTCGGGTAAATATATCAAGTAATTACACATTCTGCATAGAAAATCATCTACTGTCCTTAAACACGGATTATATTTATCTGTGTTCGTGGAACAATAATAACTTAATTAGAAAATAAGAAGTTATACGTTTGTTCCTTTTCAAAAATTAGACTTGTTTACAAAATTTGAAAAACATTAGAGAGCCCCTGGTTAACAAATATTTTTTTTTTCTGTCATATTTTAATCACTATGATACTTGTGTTACTACACAATTGAGAAAGCTTTAAAGGCTGACTCTTAACACACAAACGGTTAGCAACATCGTCGCTTCATTGGCCCAAAGGATGCCTTATCGTATGTAACTATTAAGAAATGTTTATAATTTGCGTGAATGTTACGCAGTACGTGCCTAAATAGTTTTATCTAGTGGTGTTATTGGTTTCAAGTTATAAGAAAAAACGATAAAACAAATCGATAGAATTTTAAAGACTTAACTACTTAACATAGAAGGTTTCTTTAACTGTACCTTAAGAAACGTAAACTTTAACAATAACTACCGATACGCGCATTTGCAAATTTCACAATAGATTAAAATTGAACAATACCAACAAAATTAATAAAAGGAATGTACAAAACTAAACTTGTAATTTTAAATTGAATTAAATTGTATACTTTCCTTTGCATATTACAAAATGTTATATTTAAGAGCTAGCTATGAGAAAGTTTTTGTAATCAGAACATATTTCTATTACGACCTGATTATCAGAATCCTCTTGTAATCAGAACATTTTCCTATTATGACCTATCAGAACTCTTGTAATTAGTCCATCTTTATATTTCGAACTAATTTCTATAACACTTGTAATCATGCCATTTTTCTTCTACGACCCGATTTTTAAAAGTTATTGTAAACTGACATTCTTTCTAGTACGACTCGATTATAAAGCTATTTGGTTATAAAGTTAACTTGAAATGCTGTCTTTCTATAAAGCATGCATGACCTAGTGGTTAGGGCACTCGATTCACAATCTGTGGGTTCGAATCCCATCACCGAACAAGCTCGCTGTTACAGCCATGGGGGCGTTAAGATGTTACGGTCAATCCCACCTTTGTTGGTAAAGGGTAACTAACAGTTGGGGGGTGGGTGTTGTTGACTAGCTGCCTTTCCTCTAGTCTATCACTTCAAAATTAAGGACGGCTAGCTCAGATAGTTTTCGAGTAGCTTTACGCGAAACTCAAAAACAAACAACCCCAGAATGGTCTGAAGAAAAAGTCGTGCTGTATCATTACGTTACTATAAATTCTTGTAATTGTAACATCTAATAATTATGTGTAACACTGAAAGTTGCAACTACCTTGGCACATTTTCTACAAGATTTGGTTATGATAATATCAAGCTGTAAAATTAACAGAGTTAAATATTACATTAACAAGTTTAATGGTACTAAAATTATTCAGTAAAGTTTATAAACATCACCCGATTAGGGTTTTGTAATCATTTGTATTCTTGACAGATTTTAAGCAAAATAATATTTATCAGATATATACATATATATATATAAATTATAGTTGTACTTAGCATGTGTTGTGCATGTCATCATTTTTGTACCTATTTCAGAAGTGATGTAAATACGTATTTTACTAAATCATTTTGAAAATCTCTCTAGTGATGGTTTGATTTTTTGCTATTGTTAACTACACCAAATAAACGATAAAAAATACAGACAAGATTCATTAAAAATGATCATCACTTATTGGTAACTGATGACTCATTCTAGAAATCCCACTTTTTATCCATCTTTCTTTGTGATGTTTCATAAAAAACTAGGCTCCCTCCCTAGTGCAAATCGAAGATATGAGGCCCTTTTAAAAACTATTACTAATATCAAATTAAAATCAACAACACAGTCGAAAAAACTATAACCAAAGTCAGCCAAACCCTTAAGAGATAAATCTTCATTATAAATAATATTATAATTTTCTTGCGTAGGGGATGAAGGTGGGAGCTTTCAGGAACGTTCTTTCTGTGTTCCCGTTTGTCTTGGTAACAACCCGGATGTCACATAGGAGGTCTGTCTAGTCACTACTTTAAAAACTTTTTTTTTACCAATCTTTAAATTTGCTATCATGGCAATAACCAGTAAAATGAACAAAATTTTCCTTTTCAAACCCAAACACGTTTCTTCTAATATTTCAACAGTAGCCGTTTACAACATCAATTGATTTAGAATGAATAAAAGTTTCTAATCTATTTATGCACCAAGTTGCTCGTAGGCCCATGGTCTTGTTATTATGAGTGAAAGCAAAAAATTATATGTTATAATGTTTAAACTATGGTACATCTGCTGTAACCAGTGCCAACTACGCCTTTTACCCAATATCGGGGCTCACCAATGCGGCTGGGATACGACAGACATGGTAGTTGTTTATGCGCTATTTGTTAGTCACAGAATACCTAATAACAAATATCAACAAAAAATACTATCAGTACTGTAATTAAACCCACAAGTTATTGCTAGGGTTTTCTATACATTTTACGAAGCAAATCAGTAATTTAACCGTTTTTTTGTCCAATTTTTTATATTGAGTCTTGTAAGAAGTAAAAACATCTTTGCACTCGCTATGATGCGACGTATGTGCTCCAATGGTAATGAACGGTATCTAAACATGTCGGTAATTTGAAACTTAAAAGAATCAGCATTAAATCATATGTACTTTCACACTGAAACACTCTATGCTGGCAAATAACTGTCAGATGGTAGTATGACAAGCGCAGAATAACCATGGTGTAACGCTAAATATAAAAAAAACGTTTTGAAAGTTGTATGCATGTTTTTCTACGTCTTCTATACTACTGCTGCAGTGCCTTCGCCACTGAAATACTTGAACAGATAAATAAAGAACTACGAGAATACTTAAGATAAAATACATTTTATTATGATTGCAACACAGATATTGCTGTTACTTTTATTCTAAAGATGGCGTACAAAAAGAAAATATTTAGTGCATAATTAATTTTATGCAGTTTTTGTTTGACAATTACTTTACCGATATATATATATATATATATTTATCTGCTGAAATTTTTTTTTCTCTTTTTTGGAGTTAGAAATTGTCAAATTCTTTAATCATTGCCGTTTGATGACAGGAACTATGCAGTTCTCAATATAAAATGTTGTTACTCATTGCACTAAACAGACGTGAATATTTTACATATGATGCTATGTTATATTCTAACAAGCATTCATTTTGAATGTCTTAATTCTACTTTTTTTAAATATTTTATTGAAGGAACAAACAAAACAATAACGAAAAATACGCTCTGCTGGTGTTTTAAACGTTTATATTTAGTAACTAGCGTGACGTAACTAGCAAAACAAATAGATTCATTGTAGGAATAAGTAAACATAAATAAATTTTGCTTACGTTGATATCACTTAAATCATTTTGTGTTGTGTGTGTATGTATCTACAACTAGCCAAGTTGGATACACTATCAGTAAGAACATATTCATCAGCATTAACATGCTTTTTCTTAAGTTTTCAGTTATTTTTCTTCACATTCACGTGCTGCTGGTACATTCCCAGCTAAAAAGACCCTAGTTAAATAACTTAAATGTTAAATCTTTTAACAAATAAAATGATACCTGTCCTTAGAGATGGTTAAATGTTCACAAATAATTAGCATGTATTCATGTTGGCTTAGTTGGTACACTCCAATTAAAACAAAATCTGAAAAATGTATATAATAACTGTGCAATTAATATGTTATCTCAATGAAATGTATAAATAACAGGTTTTATTGAAAATATATCCACACTTTCACAAGATGAAATCATTTGCATGGAATAGTCTTCAAAAGACTTTGGAGTCTTAAAGCATGCAACAGATACAAAGGAAGTTATTATGTTGGAAACTTAGTTTTCACCTAAAAGTTAAAATGGAAAATATCTGAAACCGTTTTTAACGAACAGCAACTTCAAGCTAACAAGCAAAGAAATGTAACAATATCAGAAAACGAGCTTAACATGTGTTTGACAAACTCACAACGAATACTTACACTCCTTGCTTTTCTTACAAGGTGAAACACATCTTCTAAGTCAACAATGTTAAAAACATTTCAACAAATAATTTCATATTTAATTACAAACGGTAGGCATTTTTGGGGAGGAGAGGGGGAAATGAAATTCATTTTTAAAGATCCTTTTTTGTACTATTTACTTTTTGATGTTCAACTAAAAATATTGTGAAAAAATGGCTCATTGTCAACTCATTGCTACTGAGTTATTTTGATTAATTAAAAACATTATAATGGCACTACAACTTTTGAAAATGCAAACGTTCATGCTATTTATGTCATTTTCACTGTCCATATCTATTTCAAAGCCATTCAGAATAGGTTCAACTAGATGGGGTTGAGTAATATTCTTTACTTAGTTTTTGCTTTTTTGGGTCTAAAATTTCATAACATTGTATATTTCCTACTAAAACTGAGGTTAAATACCTTGAACAATATAAAAAAAAACAATATAAAAATACAAATTCCACTTACTGGATTAAACAGATTTGTGGCAAAATTTTTGATCAAAATATTTCACTTCCATAACAAAAATTTTTTCCTCTGTACCTCTCATAAGTTTCTCACATGCACTGAGCATGAAGAGTGGGTTAGAGTTTGCTGTTTTTTTGGATTAATAGCAAATGGTTATTATTTTGTATCATAAAAAAATAGTCATAAGAAAACCACAATTCTCAGCTGTTGTTAAGAACCACTGCAACAGATCACTTAACTGCACTTTTAATTATTAACAATTTTAAGCTACTAAACTTGCATGTAGGCATACTAGATCCATAATGACTAACTGACAGGTTCAACAACACAAATAATGGAAACTATTAACACTGTATTCACAAAGTATAACACTAAAAGAGATGACAGTTTCAATGCAATACAGGAATAAAATGTTAAGTTGTGAAATAGTCAAATAGATTAATGGAAACTGTTGACACTATAACCAAAGTATTTAGCATAATACCACAGGAAAAAATAACATATTCTTAATAAACACTAAAAGAGATGACAGTTTCAATGCAATACAGAAATAAAAGGTTATACTTAATTTACGACATTTCAATCTTAACTGCTTTTCTATCTTTAAAATAAAACCCTCAAGGAATATCTTTGGCCTTACACATGAACTTGTATGTTACATTCATAATTTAAAGTTGTTAAAAAATTTGTCTTTCTTAGATATTTATTTTTAAAGATTGAATATTTTGTTTATATTAAATGGTACGAGGTGACTCATGTACAGTTCTTCAACTTAAATCATAAGAAACCACCCATTCATCACAGTTTTCCAGTTGCTTGTCTGAGAAAGTATAAAATTAACAAATAGGCTTGACCAATACTCAGAAAGGTCAAAAAAGATTTTGAACATACTATCTTATAATGCTGTCAATAAAAACTTTTATTGTTAAATAACTTTAGATAACTATAACCCTTTGTCACACTCAGAAGAAAACATTTTCAGATTCTTACTTATTGTTAAAAACCTCTAAAATATTTTTATAATCTGGAAAAAAAAAACCTTCACAAGTCGCTTTATTTTACAATTATTTTCTCTTTTAATAAACAATAACCTGAAATACTTGTGGCTGTAGAGAAAATGTTAACAGTACAGAAAAATTCAATCATAACAGATCAACAAAATGGATCACAGGCTGATATCAAACCAGAATTGAATTGTATGGCATTGAGCATTCTGAGTAAGAAGCATGATCACTAAGGTACATCCATATCATAGCCTTAGAATACTGTTTCTTAGTCATAACCTGTTAAGAAGTTTGAGAACTCCCAAAACTTTCACTAATAATCTTTTGCTAAACTTCATATATCCTCCAAAACACTACTCTCTTTGTTTCTCAGCTATGAGTTATATTTCTGCTTGCTATCATTATACTCCTCAACAATTAGACAGCTCAGCATTTCTTTGTAATAACGAAGGCAAGTTATCTGAGGTTTTGTTATGTATGACATTATCCAGCTTTCTTTCCTTTACTAGACCTGTAATCTGTTGCATTTTCAAGTTTTGACAGTTGTAGCTGTGACTCAATATGTCATTTAGTAAATTTACAAGATTAAATATTTGTGGTTGTTTTTGAGTTATTTGGGCAATACATTTAAGAATTTTCGGGTGGGCAACAAATTTTTTTTAACCCCAGTTAAAATGCCAGTTAAGAAAGTTTCATTAGGACTGTTGAACAGGTTGGAATTGTGGCACTGGACCTAAAATAACCAAACAGTGTAATTTTCAAAATAAATTTTGTCTACTACTCTTGAATTGAAACTTGTGAAATGAGAGCTTGAAAATAAAGCAGATACAAGTCCAGTAAAAGGGAAATAAGTTAGACAATGTCATACAAATCAAATCTTGAAAATAAAGTATACTGCAGGTCCTGTAAGAGGAAAAAGATTATTTTAATATATCTTAAGTTCAGAGAACCAAACAACACCATTGACAAAATTAAATTTTAAAAAATCCTTCTTCACCATGGTTTCAACCTGTTTTGATTTTCAGATCTGACATTTAAATAAAGTGTATATCATATGGTAAACAGTACAGTAAAAAATTATATACTTTAAATAAAACTAAGTGCAAAATTTTAACAATCAATTCATATCTGATATAAGAATTGTGGCACTGGAATATATAAACAAAAAAGAAAAGACTCAGATATTTAATTTACAAAACACTGTCACATCACATGATCATGACTAAGAAACATCCATTTTTATGCTGAAAATGTTTCTTCAAACATTAAAGCATAAAGTCTAAAGTTTAAGCAGTACTTGAAAGAATGGAGCATGATGACCAAGGTACAAAAGCTGTCCAGCCTGAGTGTGTTTTAATCCTTTCCTTTCCACAGAACTTCTCTTTCCCACTGGTCCAGTAGTTTAGTCCTTGGTCTAAGGGCAACTGTTCAGTTGTCAAAAATTCAACTTTTTTGGTTTCTGCAAACACCAACTGGTGAAAGTGACAGAGCCTTGATGGAGACAAAACTTTATGCTCCTTGGTGCTGTTCACAGAGGAGGTGGAGGACGGAGTGTACAAAAGTGACTGCAAACCTTCAAAACATAACAGAAAAGGGAACAAAGCAGAGGAAACATCCTTTCTTGCATCACTGGCCTTTGAAGTAGCAAGCATCTTGTCAGATGGCATGATTTGGTTTTGTAAATCATTCAGATCTGCAGTTAAGACAGAGGGTTGCCAATTCAAGTCAGTGTGCAGAACCAAATTGTCCTGGGCATCCATAATTTGAGAATCAAAAGTATGAAGTATCAATTGAGTTGATGGAAGACAACATCTTTGAACGAGACCAGAGGCTCCAATCAAAGTGAGGACTGCTGCAGTGTAAGTAACTGTGGACACCACCACCACCTGAAAATAGCATGTACAAAGCAGTTTAAAGCAATGAACTAATATACAAGATGGCTTATAAGTAACTTCTTAAACATAATCTCAATAGCTTGCTAATTAGATCACTAAAATGCTGGTTGGAAGTTCTTCATGAAATATAGTTTTCATTAAATTTTTTTGATAAATATGTCAACTATGATGTACCAAACAAACAAACTGAAATTTATGTGTGACCATATAAAGATGTATTAAAAGGCATTAGACTTTTCTTATGAATCTTGTTTGAAGACTTTCAGTATCTTAAAGTATGATTTAAACATATTTCTTTAATTTTCCAGCAAAACAAACATTTATGGTGCTGCTATTCATTAACCCTTTCGAGACGGGTCATGTGTGAAATGCCATGTTATCTCGTTTGTTGATTGAACTATTTCATGAACTTATGTAAATAACTTTGGTATCAAACTGTAGATTATAATTCAAATTTTAGTACTATACATTACTCAATTTCTTCATTTAAAAGTAAATATTAAAAAAATACAAATGAACATTGATTTTTGTGTGTCACATGGTATGTTGAATGCAGCACTGGTTCAAATTAGATGTTTGTGAAGTCAAATTACCAAGTCTGTAGTTTTATATGAATCAGAAACTTATATTACCGATATTGACAAGTTAGAATATAAAATAAGAAGTGTTATCTTTTCTATTCGCCAAGATATTGCTCATGTAATAAATCAAACACTGTTGCACCCCACCCACCTCTTTCCACTTACTTCTATATATATATATATATATATATGACATGAATAACCAATCAAAAGCTCAGAATGTCCCCTAGTGGCTTTATCAGCCATTTTAATGGGCTTGGATGCCATTTCTTTCTTTTGAACGAATATCTCAATGAGGTAGGGTGTCTTTCGTCTGCTCAAAATTTCATATTTTTTTAGACCAAAACACATCTTAGTTATTAAGCTTGATAAGTTATAGTGGAATTCTATGGTATTAATTTAGTAATTTATGATATTTTAGTTACTCAAAAGTATATATAAAACCTAAAAAAAATTAGTTTGTTTCATATTTTGCATATGAAAGCATTGTAATGTTTACTGAAATTGTGCCAAATTTTGTTAACATTCGCTTACTAATTTAAAAGTTATAGCATAAAAACTATAACAAACACAAAATGGTTATGAGGTCAGTCCCAGGGACCGAGCCATACTAAAAGAGTTAACAAGCAACTAGTGGTGGATTATATCAAAATGTTGTCATCAGTATGATCCTAAACTATACCATAAAGTACAGACACAATATTAACACTCAACTGTATTCAGGCATATATGTTAACCAGTTAAGTACAATAAACTGTGCACTAAAGTTTAAAAAAATAAATGGTTAATACAAAAACCACTGAAAGATCTAAAGAGCATTTTAGGAAAGCTACATTAGAAGGCAAAAGCTGAAAAATTCTCAAGATTAAGTTTCTTTGAATTATAAAATAAGGTATGTTTTCCTCAGCTAAAATGCATACCAAGTATGTGACTCGACAAGATTGATATAGTCTCTTTTTATCAATAGGTTCACCACTACTTTAGCCATGATTAACACATTTATCTAGTCATGTAAATATTTTAAAGGTTTAACTCAGTATGATAAACAAGCGTTATCTATTAAGTATTATCTAAAACACTGAAGAAATTGAAATCCCCAAATACAAAATAAACACAATTTTTAACACAATAAATTACTTAAAAAAGGCTTATTTGGTGAATATTACAACAGAAAAACTAAAAAAAAACAGTTTATAAGCTTTTAATTTATGAAAACAATTTCAATGTCAACTTATTTTGCAATCACTGACTTTGGTTGATTATGTAAAAGATTCAGATGTTAGTGTAGTGAAATATCATTAGATTGGAAAAATCATATAAAATATTTAAAGATCTATATCTATCTGCAGAGGAAAGTCAAAGTTGTCATAAAGTTTTCATCTTCAAGTTCAAATGGATGCAAAACAAATGAGTAAAGTTAATTCATAGTTCAAACAGACCTGTCATTTTTTTTCAGAATTTCAAGAAGTATTTCTGCTGAAACTATTTTGCTTCACATTCTACAACATCAATGTAAATTATACAAAACTTTCAATAGTTTTATTATCAGGCTGTAAGTTGATACTTTTTCAGAATTTCAAGAAGTATTTCTGCTGAAACTATTTTGCTTCACACTCTACAACATCAATGTCAATTATACAAAACTTTCAATAGTTTTATTATCAGGCTGTAAGTTGATACTTTTTCAGAATTTCAAGAAGTATTTCTGCTGAAACTATTTTGCTTCACACTCTACAACATCAATGTAAATTATACAAAACTTTCAATAGTTTTATTATCAGGCTGTAAGTTGATACAACTGTTCACATTGTATCTGGATTTGATGAAATTTCCTTTTATGATGTAATGTTTTTTGTTTTACTTACAACCTTGTTTACTTAATGATAATTTCACTTACACCTGCATTGATTTTCTCAAGAACCATCTGGCAGCTTCAACTGTGAATTGGGAAAGTTCAAAATTCTTTTGAATATTTGTGATTGTGTATTTATAATTGTAAGGTTATTTGCCACATTGCTTTTAATCTGGACATAAAATTATCATCTATATCACAGAAATAAATGCATCTTGTGTTTGTATACACCAAAAACAGTTTTTTGTAGTGAAACATTCTATAGATCAATGATCTTAATCATGTAGAAGTTTGAATGTGATAGTGATTATTACCAAAAGTGTCCATTTGGCTCAGATCAAAATCATGTTATGGTCTCAAAATATAAAGGATAGATATATTAAATTATTTTGTCCCAATCCAAAAAAGTCCCAAAGGTCTGTTTGTGCTAAAAATTGAGATATATGGTAGATACATATAGCTAATTAATTTCGTTTTTTGTCAGATATTTTTTGTTCATATATTGTGAATGTATTTCACAAATAACAATACAAACATTCCCACATCTCCAACTATAATAGGCAGAAATATTTTCCTCTTTGATAGCTTCAATAATTTCTTCTTTTTAAATCCATTTCATATTAAAATTTCATACACCATTTTTTGTAAATAGTTAAATCATGTGATAAAATCTTAGAAACCAACCTTGACAACCCTCTCCATTAACAAAGCCAACCACTGATCCATGGCAATAGTTTTTAACAGAACTTCAACATCAGTGTACGTCAGCCATCCCCTTTTCAAAATTTCTTTGGAAGCAATCCTGAAAAAAGGTAAATATGTATATAAATATATATACCAATGTAGATGATACCAGCTTAATATATGCCATTTTAAAATATATAAAAAAATAAACTTCCAGGTGTGATTTAATAGGAAATATCCATACATGTAACATTTTTATGATAAAACTAACAAAATGTTTTTTTTTCTTTAGAAATTTATGGTAATTACTGTGAAACATTTTGGTATGTTTTACAATCACTCATGTATGATCCAAGATTTTTTACATACATATACTGTGTGTCACAAATATGTTCATTTCAAATCCAAATGTGTATGCACAGCTTTAGTGAGTGCAAAATGTACATAGTGAATGACCAGAAGTATGTGATGTTTGAAGTACTTGACAATGCTTGAGTTGTTCTGACAGTGCAGCTATTAGAGAAGACATAATGGTGTAGGAAACATTCTTATCACAAGAGCTAAGTCCATGGTTCATACTGAATTGCTCAGATAAATTTCAAGCACTTTCAAGGATGTGTATGCACCCTGTAAGTCCTTTGACTTCCTTAGAATTGCAAATAACTTCTTGTGTATTCCTGAATGTTGTTATGTCCACTACTCAATGGTGTAATTCCATTATGCTGGACAAGTTCTCTTCCAAGAAATAGTAATTTAACAATTAATCATGTTCATATCATCTGCAATTGATTTGAGAAACATGATAATACTTTAGTCACCTTCCTTGAGCAGTACCTTCACCAAAACTAAATCTGAATGAGTATTTTTATGATAAACTTGAACATGAAATTTTCCCCAGTATTCCCCTACTTACATCAATGTACCAACTACAAACAATATTTTTCAAAATGGTCTACAACACTTCCAGCATATTGTGAGTCTATAACCAAACCGAGCCAAAGCTACTTTAGAGTCAAAAAGTGGAGGGGTCCTAAGAAATTGGTCAATCAGTGTAAGTCTAATATATAAAATAACTATGTGCTTAAGATTTCTTGGGAAACAATATCAATCTTTTCCATATTGTAGGGGTACAATGATATCCTATTATACTGTTTCAAAAGACAGTAATGTAACAATTCACAACTCATATTTCTAAAATGGTTTGATATCCTCTCAATTAATGATGCTGAGAAACCCACTTGAAGTAAAAATGTATAGCATAGACAGTTGGTATGGGTATTAAAACCTTTAATTAAAATAAAGTACAAGAATAATGTTTCGACCTTCTTAGGTCATCTTCAGGTTAACAAAGACAGTTTAAAACTGACTGTTACTGGGCACACATCTTAGAGACAAGTGTGAGAACAGGTACGAGATTGTAGGGGGCATAGCAGTTAGATGTTAGATGATTTATATAGGTATAAAGGTGTTCCTTTATTTTGGTTCGAGTTCTTGTAAAAGTAGAGCTTCTTTGATTTTTCGTTTGTTTGTCTTCGTTTCTCTACTTAATATGTTTGTGTTTAAAAATGTGGGAAGGTGTTTTCTGTGCTCATTGAATCTGGTTTCCATTTTTTGGCTTGTTTCTCATTTTTTCTCCTTCTTAAAGTGAAAATATTTAACCAAATAAACTGCAACTTAGTACAAACTTTCTAAGTAAAACCTAGATTCTGTTTTAATAAACAAACTCATAAAATTTAATTTATATTTCTATAATTTTTTAGGTTGTGAAATTTCCAAAATTTTGTTTTAAGATAAGACTTTGAAAAACATTAAAAACACTTCACCTTAGAAATTCAATATTTTCTGAACATGATAAACTTAATAATATTCAATAAAAAATGGATTTGTTTTATCCAAATAGGTTGCTGTCACTTACTGTACTTGTTAAACCTAGAAGAAAATTCTTGTAGCTTTTAAACAGATATAATAAAAATCAAAAGCATTATCATGGATAAAAATAACATTAAAAGTAGCTATAAAAAACTCCAAGTGTGGTTTGTTCCTAAGTTTTGTAAACCTTGCACTAGCTTCCATTGTTCACCCCTACAGAGTTCAGTGTAGCTAATATGTTGACAAACCACAAATTAGTGCTACCACACTGTATTTACTCTATACTGCTGTAGATAAATTATAGCCTCTTTTATCTAATCATTTTTGGCCATTGGCCTTAATTAGTTTCAAAGCGAGGGTTCATTAGTTATTAAGCATCACAACATGCCAACTCAGTCTAAAAGCCTAACAGTCTAATATTCAACATAAATAACAGCAGGGTGTCATTTATATTGTTCATAACAATTTAAAACTTTATATTAATGTTAGCTAAATTTTCTATTTTTTGACTATAGCCACTACAACAATAAACAAAAGGTAGATTACTAGTTCTCTTTAAAAACTTGAACATTCAGACAAACGTGGAGTCACCTAAAAAAAAGGGGGTGGGGGAGTTAAAACCAGGACATTTGTTTCATTCTGAAATATGTCTTCAGGACAAAGAGGTCCAAACCAGGTTTGACTATAACATTCAAACCCCATGCTGTGACACCATAAAGAAAGTGGTAATGATAGGTAATAACACCACTGACAGAGAAGGAAAATTACTTCAAAACAAGATACAAGTCATTATATTTCCTAGGTATGATAGTTACTTGGCAAGTATAAACCTATACTCTGGGATGAGCAGAAAATTTCTACGAAAAATAATAAATGAAACTAGGAAAATATGTTTCATATTTCTTTGTAAAATACACTATACAAGTATAATACAAAGATTAAGTTTTATAAAGGCAAGTAGGGATTGATATATACATAACCTAGCTAGCCATAGTAATATAGAAAGTTTTAATGCTACAAAAAGTACTGAAACATGAAAATCAAAACTACAAAGACCGAGTTACTTAAGATTAAAAATATGTTATCCCTACTTTGACAAATCATTATAATTATATTAGTCTGAGCCAAAGTAGGGATAACTTTTTTCTAAATTTTAAGTAACTCAGTTTTGTAGTTTTGACTTAAGTGTTTCAATACTTTTTTATAGCACTAAAACTTTCTATATTACTACAGATAGCTAGGTTACACATATGTTGATTCCTACTTGTCTTTAAAATATTAAATTATTTTTATCATACTTGCTTCCTTTTTTATTAGATATATTTTTATGCACCAGCAATTCCAAGCATGGGGCATGAGTATACACTATTCAATGTTATTGCTCATCATGATGTGTACCAACCTACCCTTAAATCTAATTATATGCCCAAAGTAGTGCATTGTCAGTTTTATATATTAGTTTTATATATATTATATATATATATATACTAGTATCCTTTTCAGTACAACTAAAGAATCATTGAGATCCCACAAGGAAGAGTTTTGCGAAAGAATTAGAGCAATAAAGTTTCTTTTTTTCTCTATGCTTCTCTAGAAAAGTAACTTACTTACATACATAGATGAAATAGTGAAATTTTGATTCACTCCATAAACATGTATATACCGATTACGTGACTTTATAAGTACAACAGCTTTAGTTTTGCTCAGCCAATACTGTGAAATAGTCATTGGTAATGTTCAGACATTTTAAAAAAGGTTTTAAAAGGGCGATTTTACAGCCGTAATTTTGTTTCATCACAATCCCTACTATTAAGTATTACCGTACTTAATGATAAATAGAAAAATACACTAAATAAACATTATATAATGCTAGAATAAGTTTGAGCACAAAATTGAGAAAGAATTATATTTTTCATTGAAAATGTGACATGGAGTGATACACTCAACACCTGAAATGTGCACAGTAGTTATGATATGGTTAAACTCTTTCAAAGAGCTTTGAAGATGTAATGAGATAAGTTGATATGAAGTAATATCTCAAGCTTTATGCAATATTGGTAAACAAGTTTGACTAAGTAACTGATTTTATCCTGTATACATTGAAACTGCTCAAAATTTATCTTCTTTGATTCCACTCTAATAAATAAGCACATAATAACATCCTTTTTTTCAACATTTGACTAACAGCATGCGATTTTAACTGCATAACTAACCCTCAAAAGTTATACTTAGTATAACATGTGCATATCTTTTTATCTGTCTAAGATATTAGATTGAAAACAACTTTTGCAAAATATTTTTTATATTAGATTATCATGCAAGGTAGCATTACAATAATTGTATCAAATCTACAATGACATGACATGGATTGAAGCAAAATAAAACTAACAAACTAATTACATGCATTTCCTTATATGGTAGAAACAAATGCTTCAATCAACAAACACAACTACCTAGAATATACGAAAAAAAAGTACAAAGGTTAGACTACTTACTCAGTTTCAATGCCTTTCAAAACTTGGAAGAATTGGGATGGCTGTACAAAAACATTCCAGTCCTAAATTAACAATTCAAAAGTATTTATCAAAGCCAGTTATCACTGTTACCAAGACCAAAATTTTAGTTATTCCACCACTGAGAAGCTAATAGTTATTATGTGATGTACGGGAATAATATAAAGTTTAATGTACTAATCATACACTATTCACATTCTGAGATGAAAGTTGAACACACTGAGAAATATATCTAGACTAAGTTTCTTTAAAATGTGATTGGCCACTATATTAGTTGGATTCAAAATTTTGACCTTTACAAGTTCTTTTTTCAGATATATAGTCCACAAACAATGTTACAATCAAATATATAATTTCTTTAATGTTCTGGAAATTCTGATGATGGTAGTGTAGATCACTGAAACATGTAAAAATGGCAATCTAGTGCTACAAACAAGCAGTATTTTTAAGAATTACGAACAAAAGCTTACACCTATTTACAACTGATTTTGAATTAATCTAACACAATTCTATGATGTACATTTTTTATTTGTTTGGAATTAAGCACAAAGCCACACAATGGGCTATCTGTGCTCTGCCCACCACGGGTATCGAAACCCGGTTTCTAGCATTGTAAGTCTGCAGACATACCGCTGTGCCACTGGGGGGCTATGATGTATATAAAGGAAGCTTTGTTTTTTATACACTAAAACAAGAATTAAACAACTAGACAGCTGACCAACAGCCTTTTGAATTTTCTAATTATGGCTACACAAAAGTGAAGCAATCAGCTCAACTGCACTTGATGGCTAGACAGGTTATTCCTAATTTAGTGAAAGTTGTAAAGTTTTATATTTCTAAATTAAGTTCCCAACTTCAGTTTTCCTAAGCTTCACATAAAAATTAAACTTGCAAAATGAATGTTTTTAAGAATATTATTGGCAATTTATCTCCTTTTCAAACTTAGTATTTCAAAAACAATACTTTTTTCATTAAATATGTCAGTTTACATTCTGTATTTACAAAAATAAGTTCTCCTACTTCTACATCTATAGTACTTCAACAGTGCTTACCCATAAACAGTATATATTAACACTTAAAGCTGATATTAAAAAAAAAAACACTAAGTTATAAGAGCAATGGAAATACAGTAATTATTGAGCTTCAAGTAAGCCAGCCTGTGTTGAACCTTTGTTTTTATAAATATTTTTTTATATCATCTGTTAAACTGCAATCACATGACATCATCAATATAGATATCTCTCTTCTGAAATATTTCATAGAAGGAAAATTGAGAATTTGATATCCAAAATTACTTAAATCATAAAATGCTAACATATATATATATATATATATAATAATACAATTACAACATACATATGCTTTCATTTATTTGATTTTTCTAAAGAACAGATATTGCATTTACAATTAATAACATGGCATATTTTTTGATGAATAAAGCATAAGTTGTTAGCATGCTTGTCCCAGATATTTGTGCAAAGCCAGCCAAAGGCCATTTGCAATCGTTGTCCTTAATTTTGAACTGATTAACTAGAGGGAGGGCAGCTAGTCAAAACCAACACCACCAACTCTTAAGTTATTGTAATCAAATAGTGAGACTGACATCAGTCACTTTTATAATGCACACCTGTAGCCCCAAAGTGCAAAGAGCCATTCTGTAGCAACAGGATGCAAACCATGGATCTTTGGATTCCTAATCTGGCACACTAACCACGGAGCCACACCCAGCCCATGATATATAAGGGAAGTAATATTATGAAGTTGTGACTGTTCAATTCCTGAAACAATTAATAAAATAAAGATTAAGTGACTTATCTTCCATATCAGTTATTTCCCATCATTTTTATAACTTGAGCAAACATGAAAAAAAAAACATTATCCTAAGCTTACAATAGACATTCATCATTAGATATCTATTAATGGAAAATACAAGCATACAATTGCTGTTAGAAACTCTCTTTCAATTCTATTTAAGTCCTTTAGGTCCATATTTGCTGATGCTGCCCACTCATCATTGAACACTTCATCTTCTTCTCCATTATCATAGAGGAACTTGGAAGCAACCATCTAAAGATATCCATGAACCATATCATTACTTTTTATTTTATGCTACGCTAGTCAATAAAACAAAATATTGTGATTAATAGTTCTGTTTTGAGTTTACTTACTGATTAAGCTGTAATGTGTAATAAAATAAAATATATTGTGATGTTGAAACATTCAAAATACAAATTTCATACACTATGTTCTACGCTCATTAACAAGCACAAGTTAATATAATTCAGCAAACACACATACTCAAAATAACTTATAACACAACATTAAGTATCGACATACACCCAAATTATCATGAAACAAAACAAGATACTATCAATAACATGCTAATCTAAGTATAAAAAAATATGATGAATGAAAATAAGGTATTTGTATTAAAGATTATACGAGATGCATAAAAAAATCAAATACATTACAATAATATAACACGCAATTATAGTCAAACTTAAAACTTATAGCACAAAAATGGGAGTACCGATGTGCAAGTTGTACTAAAAAATTATCTCAAAATCAGTTTTAGATTACTCAGTTTTTCAAAGATTTGGAGAATGATACCTGAAGCCTTTCACATCAGGAAACAAATAATACTATTAAGAACTTCTAAAAGAAACTGTCAATTATGTCTAATATAATTTCTGAAAAACTTCAGGTTATCTATTAACCCTTTCCTACCAGCATCTCAAGTTATTACAAGAGCAAATTAAATTGAGTGGTCTTTCCCTCAAACTACCTCCAAAATAAATTTATAATTAAAATATTGGTATGTTAAATTTTCTTTTGATGTAAGTTTAACTAGCATTTGTTTTGCATAAAGTAATTTAAAAAAATCAGAACTGCTTGCCCCAATTTTAAATTTTTGCCACTGTTGTAATTATTATTAAGATGGTGGAATTTGTGAAATTTCTCACCTGTACAGATACAACTTGTTAGTGAAGAAAATTAAGGCACAAACCTGGTAACTTTGTATTTGTTTGAGGTTTATTTTAGCTCAAATAATTTTAATAAGGTGAATTCTTGAAGTTCGTGATGTCAAGAACTAAAAAATTTAGATATCCACGTTTTGTTTTACAGCTTTCAAGTTTAGGAAGCTGACAAAATTGTAAATATATTACGTGAAACCTGGGATTATTTTCTTGCTAACAATCTTCCTTTCTAGTTACAATAGATTGTAAATACACAAAAATTCTCATTAAGTTTTGATGCACCTTAAGGTTAAGTGGGCTTTTGTTTTGTAAGTTTATTATTGGTTTTCTATTACTTGTATACCACAGAAAAGCAATATATAAACTCAATGAATTTCCTTCCATGTTTATTTTACTGAAGTAATTGTCTTGGTAGTTAATTTTCTATTTACAAGAACTTACAAAACGTTTTATAACTCAAGACCACTGTGAAAGCAAGTATCGTATTTTGCCCAAGGGCCAAAGATAAATATTGGGAGGTCTGTTTTGAACACAATAAATAAATTAGTAAAAGGAGGATAAAAACAAGTTTATTTTTTGAAATAGTGAGATAAATACTATTTATATTAGTTTTAATGCTTCAGAGGATTATTTTATTGCTACATTTCTTTCAACAAAATGGTTTAGAGCAAGACATAATTAGACATACTATAGTATATGTACAAAAACTGACTTTTGTGTTCAATAATACTGGTATAAGGAATATAGAGCTGCAACCATGAAGAGACATTAGCAATATAATTTACATCATATAAAGAGAATGTATATTCTTGCAAACTAATGAAGACAAATGTATACTTTTTGATTTTAAAGAAAGATTTGTGAAAGCTATTTCTTCATCAAGTATTCTTTAAAATAATAAATATTTATATATATTTCCTTTTATTAGTTTGGTAGAAATATCTATCCCTTTTTAAGATAAAAATAGAAATTATGAGCACAGAAGAAGGAGATCAACACAATGCAGTAAACACGTGAAGAGCTTGGTGCAAATTTAATGTTACAGATCATATTTGGAACTTCACAAATTAAAATAAACATAAGTTGACCAAGTGATTGATGTTTCTAATACTTTTATGGTGGAATAAAACTATATATATAAAAATGGGAAATTTCATACTTTTATCATCATATACAACTATATGTAAGATTCAATGTATGATTTAATTTGTCTATTATACTGTAGTTTATGATAGGTTTAATGTTAAGTGATATTTTTGGAACAGAAATGAATAAATAAATTATAATTTACCCTTTAATTAAATTTCACAGGTGGACAGTAAAATACAAACAGTGGTCCAATAATAATGTACTGTCAAGTAGTTGATACCACAACAAAAGTATGAACTCTAATGAAGCTAAATTTTCTCCCACTTAATTACTACACACACACACACACACACACACACACACACTGCAGTTTTTCTTAGTGGAGAATAATACATTAATTTAAATAAACATGTGGTTCATGTATTTACATTTCAAAGAAGTATTCAACATAGTAATGAGGAAACATTAATAATATTAACGTGTCAACTTCTTTATGTTCACTTTTATGGTTTAATAAAATTCATAACTGCTTCTATGGTCTTAACGTAAAAACTGTGGATTACCAGAATAAATGATAAAAAATACCATATATAGTACTCAAATTACTTTTAACTGACTTTTATCTCATTTGCTATAAAACTATTTTTAACATACACACAATTTTACAACAAACACCAGAGACAGAAAGAATGATGTATCACAGCCATACAATTTTATCAGATCTCTGTAATGGTTCAGATTCATTAGCATGCTCTTACTACTCAAGTAACAAAACATTGGTTTTTGAAAGTAGTAATACCAATTTAATATAAACCATAATGAAACATAGTAACCTTGACAGAAAAATCTATAATTTTGAGTACACATAGGTAAATTAATTAATAATATAAATACAAACATATTTTACATTATATTAAAAATTCAAGCCATCGGTATATTAAAAAAAACTGAAAAAAAAAACAAATAATGGAAAGATAAGACCGAAGGACAACAGAGAAAACAATGATTAATCAAATTTTACATGTATACAATAATATATGTGTTAATGACTATTAAAGACAATCAAATGAAAATAATTTAGTTTAAAATGCAAAAACTTTCTTGAAATGTAGGAAACAATTTACAGGAAAAATTCATTCTGATTTGATGTATGATTTAATTAGACTATATTATTGTAGGTTATGATAATTTTATTGTCACATGATATTTTAATTATAAAATAGAAAAAATATAATCTACCTTTTGAAGAAATTTTGCAAGTGGAACAGAAATTAAGAAAAATATCTATCAGAACTTAAATATTATGAAGTATGTTAAGATGCTATAATGTTATATTTTATCATTGGTTACTTGTGCTAATTTCTTCCATAATCTGTCATAATTTTGGAACTTTTATATCTGAAGATTCAGATAGGTTTCCGCAGAGTAACTCTCTGTGGGAATGTAACAATGTTTATGGGAACATAAACAACAAGGAAATATACATTTGAGGGTTAAATTTTATTTTTCCCGTACAAATATATGAATTAAGGACTAGATATCTGACTATTACCTGACTGACGATTTGATAAAAACAGTCTTAGAATTGGAATGCGCTCTAATTTTGGCTTCTAATAAACCCTGCTACTAAAGAACAATGGTAATATTTAGATGACATGAAAACACAATCTATTAGTTTAAGTACATTATTGTTTGACCAAACCTACACTATTACACATACATCTTCACTAAAAGGTCTATAACACCCGCACACACTCATTTTAACTTTGAAAACCAAATACAAACCCTAACTATTATTTTTTTCTAAATCTAGATATATACAACTTTTTTTTTTTGAAATTATAGACTTGTGAGATCATCTCTTTGACACCTAGTACTTACAGAGACTGTTCAACTGTGATGGTGTGACATGGTTAAAATTTTGCAACAAAACTAAACAAATCAAATTAATATTACTATATAATTTGACAGAAACTAAACAATTCTAGAAGTTTTTGTTTCAGGATGCACATTTCATCTGAGAAGTGGCAATTCACTCCAAAAAGCATCATTGTGTCATATTGGATATTAACACAATAGGTTTAATGAAAAATTAAGATTACATCCTATTCATTATTATAAAATCAAAACTATTCATTTAAACAAAGAAATGTGTTAAGCCCAGATAATGAAAACAATTACCATAGAAACTAGAAACAAGTCACAAGAAGAAATTTTCTGAAGATATTCAGGATTACAATGACGAATTCTTTCCAGGTAAACCATTGCAAGCATCATTGAACACGGAGAAATACACGCTTGTCTGTAAGTATAAAAAAAATATCAATGAACACATTGTGTAAATATTTTGATTTTGCTCATTCATATGAAACTGAACAAACACAAAATATGTATGATAACATGAACTTTAAGTTTATAGATATGCTTCTAATCATGATTTACAGTAGAAGAGCATTCCAGATTTTAAAATATAGAGATTCATATGCACTTTTAAAAGTTAATTACTTGTTTTAGGCAAAACATCACTAAACCTACATGAAAAGAATTAATCTTAGTTATATATTACAAAACTTAAAAGAAAGTTAAAAAAATATCTTCATTCAATAATTAGCCATTTAGATCAGTACATAAATGTTTATTTAATCAAATATATTTTAAATTTTTTTGCAGTGTTATTACTTACAACACTCTTGCATTTATTAAAACACACTATTTATGTTAGATACTCTTTCTTCACACTATATCTAGATCATACACCAATTAAAAAAATAACAGTTGAACAGTCTAGCCTAGAAACTATTAAGCTTAAGTCTGTATTTATGAAGGGACAAAATACATTTTTTTTATATTATCCTGTTGTCAGTGTACTATCTTTTGCTAATATATTTCATGAAACTTTTCAATACCAGTTTTAGTCAGTGTTAGAAAATTTTGAATCATCATCTAAGCAATAACAAAATTCGTAAGTATAATGCAGTAGGCCTATATAAATATATTGTAGTTAATACTCCATAGGCAATAGTCATATTGCTAACCTGTTCTTGTTATATTAGTTCAAATATTACACACACACACACACACACACAAAAAAAACATGAAGAAGCTGAAGTATATAAAGATACATGCAGGAAGTAAGAAAAAATCAAATAATTCAAACATAACTACTATAAAAATGGAATTGAAAGAAAATTTAATTAAAAAAATCAATACCTTCTTACCATAATTGTAAGTTCACTGTAATAACAAAAACAGGTATTTTATCTTTGGACTTAGCAATTTTAAGGCAGCACTAGATGCTGAATATTCTTTAATAATATCCCTACCTTGACACAGTTGCAGCATAATGTAGGTCCAATACTTCCAGTCCTTTTCGAACAGATTTGGAAAACATCTCCACTGCAATTTCTACCATGTATAAAATAAAAATTCAATTTTAACATTTTTCCTAACCTATATATGTATTTCAGATAGATACTCACTTCTCTACAGAAAAAAAGCGCAAACCTTTGTCAAGATTTTTTGTATAAGCCACAAGCTTTGAATGGAATTAGCATATGAAACACACCATAAGAGGAGAAGGGTTAAGGAAAATAAGCTGTTATCTCAGAAGTGCAACTCACTTCTTCACAGAACACATACAGCTAGAATACCACACTGATAAGATGGCAGATGGTCTGGTGTAGATAAATAAATTACAAATATGAGCTCCATTCTGAAATCATAGCATTAAAAATGGAAAACTTATGGAGTGTATCACCCACTTGTGGATCAGCTAGAGGGCCATCACTCAGTGGAACAGCATTTTTCTCATGCAGAGAATAATTTTCATCCAATAAAGATGGTAGAGCAAAATGTACTTTGAAAAGAGCCTCTTGCATGGTGCTAAAGTGTCGTATAGAAGGGTTGTATGACAAATTGCTCAATTGACCATTATATACAGAACAATCAATAATACATGTAAGCATAATATGACTAAAAGCAACAAATTCAGGTTGTACAGTATTGGAGAAAAACTTACCAGAAAAAAAAGCAAATGCAGGAAGGAATCATTCCAGAGATGCATCTCAAAGAAAGTGCAAGACCCATCCAACTGGCATAACTATCACAAATGGTCTGGTTCTGAGTGTAGGGACAGCATGAACTACACTTCCAGGTATATACCCCAGCCCTACTTACCATCAATGGGTGCATCCACTCAGTTGAATAACAGTGGGATTACACAAATCCAAAGGGGAACTTTCCATATTGACCTCTCAAACATATTGGAATTAGTGAAACAAGGATTTTCTCCTGTTACTCCATAAGTATATAAAAAGTAGGGGAAGGGAATTCACATAGGTGAGAATACTGGAGAGGTTCTTGAACCAAACAAGAATTTTCTATCATCTGCATAAGGTCTCACTCTGATAAGTCTGTGCAATGGATTACCCTGAATAGTGACAGCAGGTGCTAGCTAGGTATGAGAACAAACTCAACTTGGTGCTATCATTTTTTTTACCTAAAGTATGGTCTTGATGGTGAAATATATATTGCCAAAGAAGTCTTGTGGAAAACCCCAACTCAACAGTGGGTGCTGAGCAGGGACAGAGGCTTAACAGTTTCTGCCCCCCACCCCACTTAATGCAGATTTCAGGAGAGAGAAGTATTCCCTGTGAGGCAACATCAGCCACATGGTGGGTTTCATTGTCTCCTTGATATATATATATATATATATATAAAGATATATTGAATGAATAAGGTGTTTATGAGACCTGTATAAGAAAAAAATAATTAGCATTTCACCTTCTGAAAGCTACTGTTGTGAAGAGTGGAGAATGACAACTGGAGGGAGACAAAATTCAGAGGTACCTAAAATATTAATGGCTAGAGGCAAGAGAAACCATGAGATGACAAACTTGATGGGAGGAACCATGAAAAGTATCATTACCCGACAAAATAATAAACTAGTCAGATGAGATGTATAACTCAACAATTCAAAGTAGAAGAAAATAAGTTACTTAAGGAAGAAGAAACACGTGGCAAAAAGGAAATTGTTGATTACCTTGAAACGGAGCAGTACAAGTGAGATAAAAACAAAGAGCCTGTACAGGACAAAGGAAATGATCAGGTTAGAATCAATTGTACAAGGAAGAAAGGGGAGGTAGTTTGATTGAAAAATGCATCCAATTACCCTCCCAAACAGCCCTAGCTTTGGAAAGGAAAGAGTGATCACGGGAACTATCCAAGGCAAAAATATCAGAGTGAAGGATCTTGCAAGTGAGAAGAAAATATGTCTTAAGAAAAAGATGGTACAGGTAAAAAGTGATTCATGGTTGAAACAGGGAATATGTCAGAGCCCAGAGAACTAAACAAAAATTCCATTCCAGTCTAAAAGGGGAATTGGATGAAGAAAACAACTGATGAGAAAGGCTCAGAAGAGATCTATAAGGACTGAAGAAAGAAAAGGGTAATGACTGGGAAAAAAACAAAAGGTCAAATATAAAACCCTCCTGAAACTGACAATAGTAGAAATAAGAAGTCAAAGAAAAAGACAGGCATATAAAAAGACACTGAATCAATCCAGACTCAGAGCATCCACCTCCAACATAATAGGCCTCAGTAAAAACTTAACCAGATGGTGGTAGCTGTATGAAGATATTTTTTAGTTTCAGAAAACTGTGTCTATAATATTCTGGTATCTTGAGTGTGTCCCTTTCAGTGGATTCTACCAGTCAGTGCAAGTGTATCCAAAGATCCACCTTGCTCTTGTGTCTCTCCTTTGTTCTTTTCACCACTTGCTGTTTTCATACTTGTGGTGGGCATAGCACAGGTCTATTGTGTAGCTTAGACTTGACAACAACAAAATGTCTCCGGGGGAGTGGTCTTTCTCTATCTGTGTCCTCGAGGTGTTGATTGCTCAACAAGTTTACTGTCACCTTCTGGCTTCTCATTGTGATGCATTCAGACACCTTCTCTGCTGTTTCTTCCATCCACTGACAAGGAGGCACTCACTTTTGGGACTTTTATTTTCCTTGCTCTAGACTTTCTCTTTTGGTAATTAACCACATTTGGTTGTTTGTCTGTCATGTCATGGTAGTTTAGGTCTTGGTTAAGGATCAATATTTTGCTTAGACCAGATCATTCCCACAAAGTGGTCTCTCTGTTTTCTGGAGTTATCACTGGATTTTTCTTTTACTTTGGGAGTCCTCTCATCACTGCCTTTTCAATTCCTCTCAATACGTAACTTCTACTTATAATCTTCAGTCCCACACTCTGCAGCTCTGTCATTTTTACTATGTGCTGACTTTTTTTATGTACTGTATGTCACACCACCCTTAAATACAAATATTATGATACTAGCTATGACCCGCAAAACATTTGCAGTAGTTTTCATGCCCTTTGCTTGAATTTTTCTTACTCTATCATTTTCATGTACAGCATTTAAGCTATGCTTTCTTGCAGGCATTATGTGTTAGATCAATAAATTCTGGTCTATTTGAAAAAAGTTTACGAGATTAGACAAATAAACGCCTGTAGACTTAACTTTATTTAATAAAATTACACGTAAAGTAAATAATGAAGTAAAGTAATGGTATTTATAATAGTGTACAAAGTATAAAACAGTTATGACCATTCAGCCTATGACACGGTTTTAGGAGCTGAAACAAAAAAACTCACAAAAATGAAGAATAAAACCCATACTAAAGTCAAAAAGTAGATAAAAGTGTTTACAGCAGTGTATGAAATGAACTGAAGCTAAATTATTGCAAAGTAAATTAAAGTAAATGTAAAGTTTTAATGAAGGCAAACTCAGCTGAATATGCAGAAACGTCTGAATTGTGTTTACAAGGTGATAAACATATGGTTTTGAACGAACTGAGCATGCACATTTTAGACCAAAATAACTTAAGAAAGTCCATAGCAATTATATTTAGTGTAATGTTCATTTTTTTAAGGAAATTACACACAGGTTAAGTGTGGTTTGTATGAAATAATTTGTAAATAAAAAAAAACTAAATCTGAAATCAAAGCCAGTCATCATGTGATGACAACAACACTATGCCATCATGTAGCATACTCTTGCATTGAAAGGTTTGACTGAGCAAAAAAACAGGTAAGTGATTCTGAATGGAAAAGCCAATATGCAATCTAGACTCCTTAGACAAAAGCATTTCTAACATATGAGATTTGTAGCATTTGATCAAGAAAGTTGCAAGAAAAGTTCCAGACAAACAAACACAAGCATATCATTTACATAGATTACTATCACTATTGATATTCAATTATATGTATTGCTTTTACGTAAATCTCTACTGCTTACCAGAGCAGATATAAAGAACTGACAAGCTGCAGTTTGAGATTTTTTCATACATTCAAATCATTTTAAAAGCCTTTCAGTACTTTCACCAATAATCAAGAACATATAGATATGAAGTTTAAGACAACAGCACATATATACATTAAAGACTTTGCAGGCATTACACTGAAAACTTCTGTTTGAGTCTGCATGCAGCTTTTGCTATATGAACTACAATAGTTCTGTTATAAACATTCTTCAAATAAAAGTGTTTGTTATGCACACTTTAGATGGCTCCTGAAAAAGCTGTAATATGAAATACTAAGCATTAGATAAGTTTCTGTTTGGGGAAAGAAGTCCTTTGTGTATTTACTACATTAAATATGTTAAGTAAAACACTCCAGATGCATTCCATATAACTAAGAACAAAAATCATATTATCCTGTAAAAATGATTTATTAGAATTGTTACTGGAATTTTGTGAAGAGATTATCCTTCCCTGGGTTTCCTAAATACAGTTCTGTTCAAACACATTTCTCATAATATTCCATATAAATATGTATAAGTAAATGCTGTCTCACACTGTTTTTATAAATAATGTATCCAATATGTAAAAAATATACACAAGGCGAAAAAAAATTGCAAAAGAATAATAAAATTCAATTTAACTTACCATACATTCACCTAGTGTAAGGAGAATTGTCACCACTGGAACACCTTGTTGGAAATTAATTGAGAATTGTCTATTGGTACACCTGTATGGCTCTCTTCATTTATATTTTTCAACAGCTTAAAGTCTGAAGAAAAGCCAAACACCTCATCATACACAACCCTCAACTCATTCCAGTGTTCAACCTGGCCACCTTAAATGTATAGTCAATGACTTTTGGGCAGAAAATTTAACAGCCAAATGTAGCATACATAATTCAACCACAAAGTGAATATCAAAACAGTTAATAAATTGTTTAATGACAAGTATAACAAATCTGTGTTCATTTAAATTTTGAAATTCATTGCTCTTTTTTATAGAAAACAGTCTAATTTTTATTAATTCCATTAACAAAATTAAACACTTATAAATACTATCTTACGTACATTTTATTAATAGTTAATTTATACTTTCTTCTCCCCTTGAGTATACGAAAAGACAGCTGTAATTTGACTTTGAAATAAAATATTAAAACTGTTGTTTGCTCTCACATTCTATTTGAACTTTTAACTTCTTACAAGTAAATTGTATTTAAAAGTTTGCTAATTAAGTTTCTAGTAACATGAAGAATATATTTGTAGTCCAAAATAAATTGTTGTCAGCTGTCTCTGATATTTACAGTAATTAACCTCATTATTTCTGTGATTGTTTATGGAAAAACAAACAGGTCATGTTACCAAACCATACGAATTTTTTAAAAATAAAATGTAGATTCGTATTGGTCAGTTACACTAATTATTTGATAGGTCGATTGAATATCCAGTAACATTTGACACAATAAACCACAATAGCAATAGCAGTAATTAAGATTTTCAAAACAAGTGCTAAACTGTAATTAATCCAATAACTGGACATCAAGTAAGGGAATTAACAACAATAAAACTTTAAAGCACAAGAGTGGAATTTGCAGTGGTTTTATGACACACCTTTGTAACACATACAGTGGCAGATTTTACTGATTATGAGACCAGTGATACTAGAAGTGAATAAATAATACTGCCTTTAAAGTGATTTTTTTTTTCAAATTGATTACTCTCCTTTTCTTTTTTAAAATTTTTTTAAAGAATCACCAAAGTCATAAAATAATTACAAATGTTGACAACACCAACTAACAGGGTGAGCACCAAATTCCTGCACACACTAGAATATACTTGTTACTAATAATGCACCAGCAACACATCTTTCAAATGTGTGCCTTATCAAAGTAAGAATCCTGCTAGCCACTGTAATGATACCATTTGTGCCCTCTATGTTTGGGGGCAACTCAAGGTGAAGTTCTCCTTACAGGGAATTATACTTGTTGAAGCAGCCCTTTCAAATACAGCATTTAATGGGTGTGAAGGCAATAGCCAGTATGGTTTCACTGGGAGAAATATTTGCTTTACTAACTCTTTGACATTCTTTGCAGAGATTACTGCTTATGTAGATGAGGGTAAAGGTGTGGAATTGACAGATCTGAATTTTCAGAAAGTATCTGACAACATGTAACAATTAAGGCTAATAAAAAAAATTATCTCTATAGGTGTAGGGATGAGTTGGATCATAAGATTAAAAAAATGGCTGAAAGTAGAGGGTTGTTCTCAGTAGAGTTCAGTGAAACTGGATTAATATCACTAGTGGGTTACCTCATGATTCAGTGTTAGGACATTTTCTATTTTGATTTACATCAGTAACATAGATGAAGGAATGATCAATAAATTGTTTAAATGTGCTGATGAGGTCTTTGGTGTTGCTTGCTGTAAAGAGAAGGATGTTGCTTTACAAAAAGTTTTAGATTATTTGTTGATTTGGGCAAATAACTGAAAGATTACAATTACAATAAATGCAAGGTTGTGGGTTATCATAATTTGTATTATGAGTATAATTTTCATGAGGAAAACCTTAACAGTGTTATGGACAAAAGAGATCTTGTTTGTTCTGGCTGTTCTCTAAACATTGTGCTATTGCTAGTGGTAGGGCAAATAGGTCTAGAGGTTATAACTTCACTGTATAGGTCACTGGTTAAGTCTCATTTGGAGTAGTGTGTTCAATATTTGGTTCCTTACTTTAAGAAAGACATTGAATTCTTGGAAAATGTTCAAAGGATAGTTACTAGGATGATACCTGGTATGGAAAGATTGTCATATGAGTGCAGTTTAAGATCTCTGTAGGTGTTTTCTCTTGAAAAAGAAGAGTTAGAGAGGATCTGAGTGAAGTGTCTAAGACAGCCTCAATTGACCAACAAGCTCCCTATTGTCCTTAAATGTTATGTTTTGTTGATATTTTCAAGAAACCCAATACCAATGCACATATACAAATTTACTCTCACAACATTTTGGGAAAGTGTGAAAACAAAATATTAACAAAGAGAAAAGTAAAAAAAAAAACAACTAAAAATATAGACTATCCAAAAACTTTCATACATTTACAAAGTAATAAGTAGTAGCACTGATAAATATCAAGAATTTTCAACTACCTGTTAGTGGCAATGACGGTCGATCAGCAGATGGCAATGTACCATAACAAAGAGTCTTCCTCACCTGTTCTGTTAGATCTTCATGGTCTTTAAATATTTGATCAACAGCCTTGTAAAAATCAAAAGACTTACTTATTAAAATGTAATTCAAAGTAAATTTTTGGGTCATTTATTTAACCCCAGAGTAATCACAATGAACATTGTGTGTCATAAACTTCACCGTTTAAAAATCATACATCCACACCTTCAATTTGCAGTTTATATATCCAAAACATGATGATTATCTACACAAATTATATTACACACACAATTAGTTTTTTATGTACATTTCTTAAGTAACTGCATACACAAATCTTGTCTCACAATCTACTGCTTCAAACACTTTCAGCATAACAATGGAACATTTTGAAATTTCTGACGAATAAAACATGTAAGACCATTTTAAAAACACAGATTATTGTGAAACTATGAAATCCTGGTCAGAATGACACTATTCAAGCAACTTAATGTTTTAACTGGGAAACTAAGTCCCAAAAGAATGGAGCCCAGAAATTCATTTTTCAAAATTTTACTATCTTGTAATACCTGTCATTGTAATATTCAGTTATTAATATTTTCTTGTAGAATAACCAAAGTCTGACTTACAGCTCATTTCCCAGAAAAAGCTACTATTAAATCAAATTGAGAAATAAAATTTGCATAAGTTACAAAGTGCCATCTTTCCTAGCAGAAAAAAAAAATATTGAAGCTAGCCAAAATTTTACAAAAGAAAAAGATATTCATTTTAAGTTTAAAAATGTAGAGCAACAAATATATTGTTTGTAATCTTTATATACAAAGTTAGACAGAAATGCTACCTATAATACACTAAATACATTTAAGCTGTTTTTTTTATATATAAAATTACATGAAGTACACTGTACTTTACAAAAATGCATTTAATTTTGAATGTAGCATCACATACCTGTCAAACACTCATGTAATATGATAATACATATCACTAAAAAATACTGAAAATATCAATTCATTATATCAAAGATGATGGCAAAATCTCCAACGACTACCAACAGCTTTGAGTAATTAGGCAAAGTACTATATTTTGTGATAAGCACTGTAGCTTTACTCTGTCTTAGAAGTGACATTACATATACAAATATTTGAAAGCACACCATTTTTCTACTTCCCTATATTTACATACATACATATATATATAGTACTAGAAATAATTGTGGAAATGCACATGTGATACATATACAGAAGACAACATGAGTAATAGCAAATAAATGATCACTTTATCTTTACTTCAACACATTATTACAGAAAATTCAAAAGAAAAGCAAATGTACAGTTCACTAAATTCTCGAATTTGCTTTAAACATAGCAGTACACCTTTTTCTTATTCTACCATATGTTTATCAACTATTGTTCTTAGTATTCTGTTTTACTCTCCACATTTCAGCTAAGTTGTTTGATTGCTATATTGCCTTTTTAACTTCCATATTACCTCAGATATCCTAAATTATATTCATATAGGGACTTTGTGCAGGTCAAGCCATGGTTGCAAGTATCCCATTGTTTTTTTTATTCCAGGGGTATAATTCCACCATATTAACTTAATGCTAGGGATCACTGTCTCCATGGAAAATGAATCTTTTCCTATTTCTCAATTCCATCAACTTGTGTAGATCTTTAACCCTTTCACTACAGGTCAAGG